AGCTGAATCTGGACGCCAGTTCCGACTTACATACAGATTCAACTTAAGAACAAACCTACAGTCCCTATCTTGTACGTACCCCGGGGACTGCCTGTATAACATGGCAGAGCTTTTCATCAACCATGTTTCTTAATCCCTGACATGACTTTGAAAATCTCAGCCAACATATGTATCCTTGTATTATTAAACACATGATTCAAACTCTTAAATATACACTAGAAGCTGGAGGCATATCACTGTGGTGATTTTAAAATACACAGTCAAAGTAACCTCACTGAGCACAGAGCCAGAGTGGGGCACAGTCTTATGCAGCCAAGCAGGCCAGAAAGGGCCGTATGGTGCCCCAAACCCACCTCTGTGCTGCCTCCCTGGATCACTAGTCTCAGTGTGGAGGGAGAAATCAGGGTTTTTGTAGGGCCATTGGCTCCCCCACTCATGCAGGGAGAAGTGGGAAGTGGACAATGCCTTGGCTCCACTCTCCAGGGTGCCAGTGAGCACAACTGAGCCACCCTGTGGGGGAAGTGATCTGTGATTTCCTTCCTGCGTGATTGTGATTTCCTTCCTGTTGTGATTTCCTTCCTGCTCCCCACTTGCTCCTACTGGGGAGCAATGTGACCTTCTGGGGTGCCTCCTGCGGGAGCAATGCTCAGCTCAGCACCACCCCGACATGTGTGGCTCTGCCTACGGCTCAAGCTTAGCCTCTGAGGGAAGCAGAGATGGCAGCCCATACTTTAAAAAACATTGCCAGTCACGTGCCAGGCCATTTCAGACATCAAGTGCGATGGAGTATTTTCAAATGATATTCACTCTTGCACCTTGAATGGGAGCAGTCGTAAAGATAGCCAGAGCGAGCCTGCAATCCAGGGGTCCCCACATCTGTTGGCTGCTTTCTGAAGGAAAAGACTCTTCAGAGAATGGGGTACCGGCCCATGAGGTCCATTCAGTCAGGTTACAGAAACCCACTACTGGATAGGCCAACTATCCTGCAGGAGCCTATCATGTATAGCCACAAAGGTGTGCGTGCGTGTGTGCGTGTGTGCGTGTGCGTGCGCGTGCGTGCACGTGCGTGCATGCGTGTGTGTGAAGACCCACCACAGGCTCAATCGCCCTGAGGGAGCCTTCTTCGCTTTGCATTAACATTAAGGTATTTTTAAAGTATCTCCCTTCTAGCAAGAAGGAGTCTGCTGTGTGTTTCAGAGACATTTAAAAATCTCATTTCTGTTTCCTTGGAAACTCCCCGGTTCCGCGTATCCCAGCTTGACAGTCCCGTGTGACGGGGGGAGGCGTGGACACGTGTACAGGGGCTCTCCAAGTGTGACAAACAGGTGAATGCATGTGTGTATGTGGTGTCTGCGTGGCCGGGCGGGGTGATCTGCACGCACAATGATCTGCGTCTGCAGGAATGTGTGCGTGACTGAGATCTGGGTGCTGCTGTGTGTGGATGATCCAGAAGCTGAGAGTCAGACGGGACTGAGCCCAGTTCTCTCCTCAACCTGGAAAGCCCATCCAGTGGCAGGCTGAATCCAGCCCCTCTTGAGCCATCTGTGGGGCTCTTACCTGACTGTCTGAGTGCCAAAGGGGGCACCTGTAAAGCCCTTTGCTGCCATTCCCTGCTCCCTGGGGTGGAGGGACGGAGAGGGCCCCCCCCCGCACAGCTCCCAGCAGCTCTGGAACGCTGCTGCCATGGCAACCACATACAATTCTTGCCTGTCTGATCCCCTGAAAGCGGAGCTGCAGGGCAGCCCGTGGCGTGGTGTACCTGTTACTGCTCAGGGTCAGGCCCCGCCTGTGCTGGGGAGAGGAATGCAGCCCTTTTCTGCACGGCGCTTGATCCCGGTTTAGTTCTGAATCATTGTATTTTACCAGACGGGCAAGGGCTCCGCCAGCAGATGAACCCCTTCCCCAGATGGGTACGGGCTGGAAGAGCAGACGCGCACCTTGTCCAGACCCTCACAAGCCTCAGAGCCAGTCACGCACCTTATCTGAACACGCACCAACTTGGAGAGTAGATGTTTGTCTCAGCAAACTGGCCTGGGGCTCAGACAGCAGACGGACCCCTCAATGGACAGGCCTGGGGGTCGGAGAGCAGACGGACCCCTCGATGGACAGGCCTGGGGGTCACCTGCCAGGCACCAGCCTGGCCAGACAGTGTGCGTGCGTAGAGAGCAGATGGACCCCTCAATGGACAGGCCTGGGGGTCGGAGAGCAGACAGACCCCTTGCATGAGGCCTTTTTTAGAAAGGGGAAAGCCAAAGCTGTATTAATAGGAAATCTGTGTTGCAGAGCCCCTGATTATCCTTGTACAGCCCCCAGCACCCATACACCTGAAACCAGAGCTCTTGTCTGCCCACCCGTGGCTGGTTCTGGCTGTCAGGCTATGGCTGTTGAGGTTTGTAACCTGTCCTTGGGAGATGTCAAATGCCTGGGAAGCGGGATTAGGTACTGCCCCAGACTCCAAGTCGTGTATCCAAGGGTCACCCAGCAGCATCGCTAGCAGAGTGCAGCTGAGCTTGCTGAGTGGACTGTGGCTGGCCCCTGCATGGGTCCACCAAGGGGTGGAAAAAGTATGAGAGCCTCCTCCACTCCTGCATTCCTGTACAGGGGCCAGCCTGCATGCCCCATGGTGAAAGTCAGATGGATCCACTGAGCCAGCCTGCTGCACCCTCTCATGGGGGGCAGAAGCCCATGGGAAAAGCTTGGGCTCAGCTGGGTCCCTCCTTTGGCCAGCTAAGCCAGCCTGTGCAGCATAGCCCCTCCGCGCCCCCAACAGAGACCTTCTGGCTTCAAACACCTAACTCTGATCCAGAAGTGGCGAGGCTGTACAGTCCGTGGTCAGACTCAGCTATTGTGCTGGTTTGATGGACGTATGGGATAAGGGAATCAAGATTTGGCCCAGGCTAGTTATTTTCATGCCGTTTTATGGCATGAAGGGTGTGACGGCGCGTTGGGGGTCCCCCGTCTCCTGCACCCCGAAATGGCACAAACAGACTGCACCAGCCGGTGGAACAGAGGAAGTTTATTGCCTCTCCAGGATACAGCACAGCACAGATGTAATCTGGGCACAGAGCTGGGCTAGGATGCCTCAGGCCCCCTTGAGATGGGGGAGACTGGGCCCCTAAACTCCAGGAAGGGTGTGACGGCGCGTTGGGGGTCCCCCGTCTCCTGCACCCCGAAATGGCACAAACAGACTGCACCAGCCGGTGGAACAGAGGAAGTTTATTGCCTCTCCAGGATACAGCACAGCACAGATGTAATCTGGGCACAGAGCTGGGCTAGGATGCCTCAGGCCCCCTTGAGATGGGGGAGACTGGGCCCCTAAACTCCAGCCCCTTCAAGGCAGCATTCCACCTTCCTTTGTTCCTCTCCATGGGGGGTGTCTGGCCACTGGTTTGCATAGTGACTCATCCTGTTTTGCTGGGTCGTGGTACCCACGGCAGCCAGTGGGGGGTCCCCCAGAGCCAGCAGCATAGAAACCAGCCAGGTACCCCCACTACGTCACAGTTCTCCCCCCTCCGAGAGCGAACTGAGCAGGGTCACTCCGCTCGTGACCTAGGGAAGTTCGGGTCCTCTGCGTGGGAACCCGCCCTGGGGACATGGGTGCTCCCTTGACTCGGGCCGGCCGTGCCGAGGCCCCACATGAGCTGGCTTCCCTCTGTCCACTCGCCGCCCCGCTCCAGGGCGACTGGCACAGGCCTGTCCTCGGAGGTCACACCCACCCTTCTGCTAGCCTTGATCTGTGGCCAGGGTCTCTCGGGCCAGGGCCATGAGCCCAGCGAGCCTTCTCTGGACAGCCAGGGCGGCTTCCACCCCCGATGCTCCATCCAGGGAGGACTTCCCCTCCCATAACTCTCTCAGCAAGCCCAGAGGGTCCTCTATCTGGGGTAGAGCCCCCCAAGCCGCGTTCCTCCTGTCTTGGGCCTTCCCGCCCCTCTGGCAGGAGTCACAGGACCGGCAGTACCGCTGCACGGCTGTAAAGATTCCCGGCCAATAGAAGTGCTGGAGCAGCTTCAGCTGGGTGCTCCGGATCCCCCGGTGGCCCCCAACGGGGGAATCGTGGGCCAAATACAGCAGCTTGAGGCGATACTTTCGGGGGACGACCAGCTGCCGCTCTACCCTCCATGCCCTCGCCTTCCTGGGGAGGAGCCACTCACGGAACAGGAGCCCACGCTCCCGCAGGAATCTCTCCTGGCCACCTCTCCCCCGGGGCTGAGCTGCACGGAGGCCAGCCTGGTCCCTCAGCCTCTGCAAGGAGGGGTCTGCCTGCACCTCAGCCTGGAATTCAGCTGCTGAGGCAGGGATCGGGACCTGTCCCCCACCTCTGCCTAGGTCCGGAGTCCCAGCCTGGCTGGACCCCGTGTCCACTGGGATGGGACCCTGAGGACGCTGCCAGGAGTCCTTCCCTGGACCCACGTTGTCAGCCCCCCGCTGGCTCTGGCTCCAGGTAGTGACTAGAGCCCGCTGGGATTCATGGGGCCACTCCTCTAGGTCGTTCCCCATCAGCACCTCGGTGGGCAAGTGCGGGTGCACCCCCACTTCCTTGAGGCCTTCCTTCGCCCCCCATTTCAGATGCACCCTGGCTACAGGCACCTTAAACGGGGACCCGTCTATGCCCTTCAGGGTCAGCTGCGCGTGGGGTAGTATCCGCTCCTGGGCCACTATGTCAGATCGGGCCAGAGTCACCTCCGCCCCCGTGTCCCAGAAGCCCGTCACCTTCCTACCATCCACCTCCAGGGGTATGAGGCACTCGCTCCGCAGGGGCCGTCCTGCCCCCACCCGGTACACGGAGAAATCCGCCTCCTGAGAATCAGACCTCCCAGGGGAGGTGCACTGAGCATCCTTCCCC